ATAAATAATACTCGTTGCGCATATAAAGAAAAAAAGAAATAATGCCTTTATAGGCGCTTTACTCTATTGTCTACTTCATGTATTTTTTCTAGTTAACATAAAGAAAAACGTGGTTTATACATATTACGAATCAATACAATATAAAAATGCGCACTGATCGTATTATTATACAGCCTTTATCATAAATTAAGATCTTCACCTATTGACTCTTGTATGTAGTTTGTTAAGATAAAAGACCATCTTGAGGGTATGGGTGTGTTTGTGACTATAATAAAAACAATACCCACACGCTCTGTGAAATCAATTCCATCGTTTGATCATTACCCTTTTTCTAAATATTCAATATCATTATTTTCAAGGGCGGGTGTGAAAAAATATAACTACCGACACACACACACTCACAAAAAATAAGGTGCGCAAGAGAAAGACGAAAGAATACTTTGCGTATAGTATAGTGGCTAAGAACGTCTACATGCTACTCAAGTATTGACTGGTTCAACTGTTCGAGTATTTCACTTTTCACGTATTTAACGAAGTATTCAAGTATTCATCTATTCAACCTTTCTGTTACCGTCCTACTCAACGGGGACTTAAACCGTCGAAATATTCGAGTATCTAACTTTTCGACTTTTCTATTGATCATATTTGCAAAGCTTCAGTGTGATTATTAGAATTTGAAACTAACATCATAGTCTGTAAAGGTTTAGTAGTGGTTATTTATCATGATTATGAAATTATTCCTTTCACTGTTACGTTACGAGATGTGGTCAAGAGATTATTGCCTTCACACTCATTCTTGCGCTGAATTTTAAACTCTGCAAGGTACTTGTGGTGAAGTACAATTATTTTCTTTATACTGACGCTAAAGTATATGAAGATGAGACTATTTGGCTCACCCTTACTAGCACGACGTTGAAAACTCTACTGAGTCGATAAGTACTCGAATTTATCCTCAGCCTTTACATCTATCCGCCGGAAGACAAAAAAATAACATCACAGTTACTACTTCCTACTGAGTTATGAAATAATTTTCTTCTCTTCGTACGAGAATGGCAATATTTTTTTCTGAAAAATAAAATTTAACTATGAGAGGAAAAAACATTCCTTCCGATATTGAGAATGTAAGAATGATGATAAACAAGTTTTTTCTGCGTAAAAGACTGAAGTAAAAAGAAACAGGTTTTTTTTCAAGAAGGAGAATAAAGGAATGAGAGAAAGAAAAATACGTCTACCAATAAGGATGTAGAATTGATGATAGACAAGTTTCTTTTCCGGGAAAGAGTTTGTGAGAATGGGAATGAATCAGTTTTTTTTCTGGAAGGAGAATGCAGAAATGAGTGCAAAAAGATTCTTCCAAGTAGGAGAATATAATTATGATGATGAACAAGTTTTTTCTGGGAAAAAGTGTAACAACACAAACAAAAAACAATTTTTTCAGTAAGTATAATGTAGGAATAACAGTAAGTTGTGTCCGTACAAAATACCTGTATGTTTTGTTCACTTGCGGCAACTAAAAACACAGGATATTCTAACAGGATCTTTGTCAAATTCTTTAAGGATATAGAAGAGAGATAACAACAAGGTGTTAAGGGAAATACGACTCATTTTTTAAATTGATTAGACTCTTCGTGTCATATACATCTCGAAATTGTCATTAAAACTGGATACATAAGATTTCAATTTGAAGCCTAATTTGCGTGATTCATTGTGTTACAATAGCTAAAATATTCATGCCGATTAGTTTAACTTATAAGAAATTAAAGATTCGAAATCGGTTGGGCCATTTTTCTATGTCAGGTAAACCACTTTTTCTCGCGTATATGTTCGCTTCTTCTTATGATCATACTATGTTCAGATAGATCAAAGAAAACTACACATTCTGCGCTCAGATAGACTTTTAAAAATTAAAGGTGCTAAGTCTAGGTAGATCTTGGAAAACTAGGTATTAGGTCCAGATAGGCCTTCAAAAAATTACAAGTAGTACACCTATGTAGGCCTTGAAAGACTAACGTGTTAATGGAAGGAGGGCGGAAAGTAGGTTGGATGATGACATAGGAAGAACTGTAGTGTGATCAGCTACTTTTTCCTATATGAAGTAAGTCACATTTCTTTCACTAACATGTTTGGCTCGCTTTCCATGACCAGCTGTCTACTATCATCTTCCCTACCATGGTCATCCTGAGACTCACCTCACCCATCCTCAAGATCAATTTTAAGCACAGATCCCGTCTGTTCAAATTTATGTCATCATTGATCTTATCATCTTTTGATCTGAAGAATTATTATTTATTTCCTTAGATAATATAGTCGGTGCGCACTGAGTGGATATTCAGATCGATACATGTGCTTTGCTCTCTATGTTTTCTCGTTCATAATCTGTTGACACCGTTCTATGTATTATTATGAATTTGAAATTTAAGAATGAGTGCATTTCGATTAGAATAGATTGTTATTATTTGTATATAAGTAGATTAAATAGACGGGTGAATGTTTATAGAAATGCTTTGAAATCGTCCTCTATTATTTTGTGGAGCCGTGATAAGTAAAAAATTCGTGGAAATGATAATTTCATATTTCGATATTGATATGGAAGTTAACATATGTAAGTTAAGTTCATTCGCTTTTTCAATATGTGATTGAAATCAGGTTAAAGTTAATAACGTGAGAAAGAATGATAAAATTCTAGGATCAGAAACGACTTTTTCTCCTATTTTTAACTGAAAAAAACTAAAATAAAACTTAATTAATATGATTATCTGAATTAAATTAAAATGAAAAATGTTTTATTTATAAAATTAAAGTTATTCGAAACTACTTCGATGTATTAAAGCTTTTTCAAGTATAAAAGTGGTATATTTATTTATTAGAAGTAGGTTTAGTATCTTAGTCAGAAATGATTAAATTGAAAGAGTATAAAAATTGTAAAGTAACTTTAATTATCGATCCTTTCAAATGTGATAGTGTAAGTATAATTTAATCGTTCATTTAATACATAAATATAATAAAATTCAAACTAAATTTGTCATTCTTTTCTATTCTTTAGTTCATCATTTGATGAACGAAAACAATTTGAATAGTTAATTAATTGATTATAATGAGTCAGTCAGGAGATCGTTTTACAAATATTGAATTGGAAAATAAGCGTTTACCAGCATGTTGTGGTTACATTACTTGGAAATTATTATCTCTTCAAGATGCCATGAAAGAATTACAAGGTCCTTTACAACAAATAGATTATTTTGTTAAAGAAGCTAAAAAGCATTGTTCATATCCAAATGAACATAATTTAACAAAAGATGAATCTGCTGCAGTTTATATTTATACAATGGAAATGTCTGATGATGATTCATGTGTTTATCGTGTTTTAAATCAAACACTTCGTGCAGAGGATCGAAAAAAAGTTCGTCCATGGTTTGGATATTTAAAACTTTTACATTCCGCAACATCAAAATTACCAAGATTTAAAGGAACTGTTTTTCGTGGAATTGATAAAGATGTTACTAAGAGTTTTAAAAAAGGTCAAAAAATTACTTGGTGGAGTATAAGTTCATGTTCAACATCTGTTAATGTTATTAAGGACTTTATTAATAAATCTCCTTCAAGTACATTATTTAATATTGAATGTTTAAATGGAAAATCTATTTCACCTTATACATGTTATCCAAATGAAGATGAAGTTATTTTAATGCCTGGAACAGTATTTGCAGTTGTATCTGATCCATTAAGTCATCATGGTGGTTTAAATTTTATTCATTTGAAAGAAATTGGTGATGATGATGATGATGAAGAAGAAGAATCACCTAAACCATTAAGTCCAAGTGAGTATTTTAACTATTATATCTATTAAATAACAAATTAATAAAATGAATTTCGATAAATAGCTGAATATGAAGAAAGTTCTTTAAAATCTAATCAATAAATTAGTAAAAAAATTTTTTTTTCTTCGATTTTTCTGAACTAATCGAATAAGAAATTGAAATGGTTTAGGATTAGGTTAGGTTTGTATTATAGATTCATATTTATTTATTTTTATTTCAAATCCAAAAACATTTGTTTTATTTGATAATTGAAGATATATTTTAGAATGAAAAGATTTTATAGAATAATTTGTGAAAATAATTAATTTTTCAATTACAAATAATTTAATAGATAAGTCATTGTAAAATTTATGATATTAATCTTAAAATAATTAGATGAGGAAGAAATTTTTGATATTCTATTATTGGATTTGGTCCACTGGCAATTTTAACTGGAAAATCAAATAATTAAAGGTTATAATTCTACAATTTTATTTCTAATATAAATGATAAAACAATTGTTCTAAAGATCGATGAGAATATAATCTAATTCAATAGAATAATTTAGAAATAATTCACTTTTTGTTTCAATAAGATATTAAAAATCTGATATAACTAATAAATAAATTAATAATAATTATTACCTATTTATATCCTTCTTTTTTATAATAATATATTTCAACGCTTTTCTAATATCTAAAAAAAATCCATTAAACTATAAAAAATCATCTAAAAGAATTTTGTTTTTGAAAATCAAATAAATTTTTCTTTATAAATGAATACCATTTCGTATTTTATACGTAGAGAAATATTTTCTCAAAAAAAGATAAATATTCCATAGAGAAAACTTTGTGATTGATATTCAAAAAATAAAATATGAATGAATTCTTCCTCTTTATAACTTTATTGAAGGAATTTTAAATAACAAAAGTTTAACTTTTCCTTCTTTCTCTTTTAAATTATCTCAAAAACTTAAATAATAGTTCTAATAGTCTAAATAATTCTTTGTTTATTTATTTTTTCAAAACAAAAATATTATACTAATATTTTTTAATATCTTTATATAAATTAAATTAAAGTAATTATTTATTTTTCTATTATTGTTAAATACAATGATTATGTTTTCTATTTATTAAGATTCTTATCAATCAAATCATTCTACAATTAGTACAGCGACTATATCAAAGAATCAAATAAAAACTCAGTTTCAAATAAAACAAAGTATGTTTCATTAAATAAAAAATAGTAATAATTTTGAAAAATAATAATAATCTTGAGATTTTAATCAATTTAAATGAAAAAGTAAGTTTAATGTAGTTAATCTTGAAAATTTTGATTTTAATGGAAATTTTCGATCTTTATTCGATCATTATCAACCTTTTAACTCAACCTGATGTTACAAACAAACAAGATTTTTACACAAAAATATATGATTTGAAAAAACACGAATAGTTATTATAACATTCTTAATTATATAGATAAGTATAATTATCTTATATGTAGTCATCATTTAAACATAAACATCATAATCATGACTGTTGTTAAATTCATTCCACAACCAAATATAAATACTCAATTTTGTGTAATACTACTATGTATCAATAATGTATGAAAAATAATAATAATACTCTTGAGATTTGTTGTAACATCTTGTTATAAAGTTGAGTTAAAAGGTTGATAATGATCGAATAAAGATCGAAAATTTCCATTAAAATCAAAATTTTCAAGATTAACTACATTAAACTTACTTTTCCATTTAAAGTAATAATTTTCCTAAAAAATAGTGTTATTATCTTTAAAAATAAGATAGGACATTTTCATAAATTGTTTTTATTAATTAAGTAACAGTTTAAACTAATTTTTGAAAGAATATTATTCTTTTGTTAAGAAAAAACAATTTCTCTTAGAACAATATTCATAAAAATATTCATAATGTGCCTCTTTTTCTATTTTTATATCACTTAATATAACACTGAAAAAAGACTTTATTTATCGTTTTCGAAATATTTGTCCAATTAAGATATTAAGAATATTATTAAATAAATATTTAAAATAAAAATTCTTTCTCAAAGTAACAAAGTTTTTTATTTAAGATATTTTTTATAGATTGATTAATATGAATAAGAACAAAATTTAACATAGAAAGTTTTTTTTTATTTCATAATTAAATGAAATATTTTTCACAAATGAAAAGAATTATTTATAGAATTGTTAATCAAATTAATCATTCGAATAGTTTTTTAAAAGAAAACAAAATTATATTAAAAATTAAATATATTTATTGAAAATTAAAATCAATTAAGTTTAATTTTGTTTCTTTGTCATATAATATGCGATGCAAAAGTCTTAGCACAAAATGTCGAACTGTCTTAAACCATCTTGCTGACTTCTAAACCAATCAAATTTTTTTGCTGGAAAGAGCAAAGTGTGAACTACAAGTTTTGTGCCGGATAAATTTTTCCAGAATTAATCTGAGAAGGAGAAAAGGTCAAAAACTAAACAACTCTAAAAAACTTCTTGCAGCTTTTTTTCAACTTGAAAATTTTGTATTTCTCAGTTATTTCGAGCTACATATATAAAACTCGAACAAAGAATATACCAAAATATAGCGCATCAAAAATCCTGTCGATATGAACCTTGACAATTTTTTAGATCAGTTCTTGACCCTTCAATCGAAAAAGTTCTAAAATTGAAGTTTTTGCAAAATAGGGTTTTTTTGCAAGAATTATCACTATACAAGAAAATTAGTCATCATCTTCAGAAATCATGCATGAACTTAATTCTTTTTGCGCTATTTGTTCTTAATATGTCCGATAGTCAAAGCTCTGCAAAAATAACATCATTCAAAAAAAACATTTTTATTACAAATAGCCGGATAGTAAGAACAGTCAAGTTCTTTAGTCTTCTCCAGAAAATGCTATATTTTAGTATAAGAACCAAGAGTAAATTTAGCTTCGAATATACCATTTGAAAGAGCACTCTTTATGCTACAAAAATTATTATTTAACATTTTTTCTCATTTCTCTTCTGATAGAAAAAAACTAACAGAAAATAGAAAATGATGTTGGTCGATGGTAAAGTTGCAAGAATTTCTTTAGGTGTTTAGTTTTTGACCTTTTCTTCTTCTCACGAGGGAGCATATTTGAGTGTACCCATGAAAAAGGAGATTTGGACTATTGTATCTTGTAGAGCTGCCTTTGGGTATCTCACATATATATATCTTAGCTGCCCTCGTTCAGGTTTTCTGAAAAAAAAGACATAACTTTTTCAGTTTTACAGCAAAAGTCATCACTGGAAGGGGTTAAAAAAGTGATCACGTAAT